TTTAAGAGATTTTGCCGTCTGTATAGACCCCTAGGATCTATTCCGATGGAAGAATTGTCCATTGATATAGATCCTAAGAAATTTTAAGAGATTTTACCGTCTGTATAAACCTTTACCTTTATAGATAGATAATTTCGTCAGTATAGATCCTTTACCTTTACAAATGAATAATTCCGTTAGTATAGATCATTTTTTTTTTCAATTGGTAATTCACTTTCATTTTTATGATTCTCTCCAACACTTATTTTTTTGCTTTATAAGAGATAAGAAACTAAGAAAAGAAGACTGAAGAGGTAAAAAAAATGAACAAAACATAAGCTCAAAAATTTTTTTCCATTGATTTTTTTTGCTGATGGCCACATTTGTCACTGCAATCAAGTGTTTGTAACAATAATGCTTCAGAAGAAAATAGACATAGGCACTCAATATATGAGGAAGAACAATGTGGTGGACAAAGAAAAATGTAGACTAGTGCAAGACACCCACAGTTCCAAGAGTTAAAAGACTTTTGCTGATGTAAGATCCTTCCTTTCTCCATAGTCCAGTTGTTTCAGTTTTTGAACTCTCAGATCCAGCTAAATCAATCAAGTTCTGAACAAAAGAGAAAAAGGAGGTAGCAAGTCAAGCCAAGTATTTTGGAAGAACATTCTAACAGGAAAACAATAGGTGAAGTGTATTATACAAGTTGAGAGAAGATCACTCCATCATATTCGTCACCATGAGCACTACTTTCAATCATCTGCAAATGAAACGAAAGTTTAAGGACAGAAAACCAAGTAAGAAGGGAACATTATAGAAAGCATGGCACCCAAGATGACCAGTGAAAGATACAACTAGGAAAGAGAAGCAGAAACAAGAAGTTAAGACAGATACAGTAACAAGTTTCAGAAAAAGAAAAGGGTGTGTAACCATTACAAACAACTAAGTACAGTACAAACTTAATTCCTTGCAAGAAAACAGCAATAGGCACGTGAGAAAAACATATAAAAAGTAACTTTTCCAAATGTGAAAGAGGACAATTGAAACATAAAGGAAAATTAGGAAATATAGTTTAGTTATGTTCAGTTATAAGGTTGAACCACTTATTATGTAATTGAAAGTCTAAGAGAGATGCTGAGGGCATCACATTAAGCAACCCAGTAAGACACTTAAATCTAAAACGATGAACAATAGAGAAGGAAGCAGCAAGAAGGTGTCTTGCAAGTGTAAATATGGTGCGACTTCAGCTGCTCAACAGATTGAAATTATTTTAACCAACATGACAATGCTTTGCAATCAACGCACATCAAAATCTTAGTGATTGAAAAGGTCTCACCTCAATCATTCACCAATGAAAGGAGAAAACATTGTAGGGGAGGAAGAGGAAGAAGAGGCTTAAGTATCCCAAAGAGCACCTTCCCCAACAGCAATGAAAGAAAGTGCATGACTAGGAGACAGTACAACTTCTTCCTTTATACCCTCAACATGAGTTCCCTACGAAAATAATGCTAGTGTAAGAAAAGGCATTAAACCAAAAAAAAAAAAAAAAATTGTGCGAAATCATGAAATCTTAAAGACTATAAGAAAGTTATGCAGGCCCATTTATTAGTAATTTTATCATCTCAACAGCTGGAAGAATGGAATCTGTGTATAAACAGGATTTATTATATGCTACTAATGCTAGTGTGTGTGCCCCATGAAACATCATGTACCATATACAAACTAAGTTTTGGAACTTCTAATAAGTAGGAGCAAGAATCTGGGCATCTTCTTTAACGTGCAAAGTTTGACCAGTTGGATCAAGCAAGTCATTTATCACCTGCTACCAGAAGAACAGCACCACTAATCAAAATAATATTCACAAAATTGTAAATTGTTAACACAAGGTATTTGAAGATAAATGGTAAAAATAAAAAAATAAAATAAAATCAATATATAGGTCAGGGATTAAAGATAAAAATTAACACATTATGAACTTCATAAAATTAATGGTCAACCAAAGTTATCTTGTTGAAGTAGTTTCATATACAAAAGGTACAATGTAATGCTGAAGAGGGCTAGAAAATTCCATCACATAAGATCAAATCCTTAAATATGAATCAGATATTGATAGTACCACTAACCTCAATGTAGATTTTAAGATACAACACGCGGAGTAAGAACTCTCTTCCTGAAGTCTAAATTATGAATGCAACATTCATCAGAACTTTGTCCATAAAGTGCATAAAAACAAAAAAGACAAAAACAAGAAAGCATTGCTTCACACAGGCAGCCAATGCCATCGTATAATCAATTTTGCACCAAGCAGGCAAACTACCCTTAATATCAAAGGAGAAGATACAAAAAATAAAAAATAAAAATAAAAATTGAGTTATTTCTAGGAAGCCACTGAATACAAATTTTTCTCTCATAGTTTAGGATCAAATTGACCCACAAGATTCTACTGAAATAAAAGCAATAATCAATAATGTGACAAGAGAGGATGGTCACCTAAAAAGAATCAGGCTGACTACTCAAATGATCAAAAGCCACCATGCAATTAAAGACATGTAATTCTGCACCGTAATACATAATGAGTAAGAGATTTTTTCAGAACACTTACATCTTGTATGATGCTGAAGACATCCTCTATTGCCAATGGAATAATACCGGGACAAGTGGGATCTTCCTATGTAAATTATCAAAGAAACAAGTAAACTTTTTACTGCTTTAAATGTAAACCTACATAGAATATCAATACATTCCCTTTTGTAAGGCCAATTAAAGAACGCCAAGCAGCACGCCATTGCCTCTCCGCCACCGGATCCTCAACTAAAGCCTCCTTTTCACTTAGCTAAGCAGCACGCCACCGCCTCTCCGCCACCGAAAACTTTCTATACATCAATTCAAATCAAAATTATAGGTGAACCCAGAGCTT